CCCCAACCCAGGTGCAGGGCAATTTTACATGTGCATGCTGTGTGTCTTGTGCTATGGAAGCTGTAGCAGCTTTTAGAGTCAAGAAGGTGGTTTTCACTTGCCAGGAGGGTTTCTTTTTCAGCTGTGAGGTGGTGTGGGCATTAATGCAGATGATCAGTAGAGAGAGTGACTTTCTGTAGTATTGATGGGGATAAGTATTCAATCCTCCTCCTTTCCTATGACAAGATGACTGTGTACCAGTCATCACACTTTCACCAAGGTTTATCCTTTTTTGCTTTACTTTTTTTTTTTTCCCCCTTGTTCTTCTCTAAGGTTAAAGGTATTCCCCTTAGTGCCTTGCCCTTGGGTTGTATACCTGACTGTCTCATTGCTCATACCATACCCAGTAACTAGCAGTCTTGAGATATGTTGCTTTGGGCACTTAAGTTTCAAAATACATAGCTAGTATTTTCATAGGTGGCTGTGAGATGAGTTGTGTAAAGTGTAGGATGTGAAAATAATTATATATTTGTCCTTCTCCCTTAATGAAGGCTGTCTGTGGGAACAGAATAAATTAGAACACTGTATGTGACAGTCTTCCCGAACAGGCAGTGCAGCAGTGTGGGATGCAGGGAAGTGTCTTCTGCTGTGTCTGTACTATGCTGCTTATGCTATGGTTAGCACAAAAATTGCTGATCTAATCTGGATTTAGCTGTACAAATATTTCTTTACCTAATTAAGCCTTGCTCATGCAAATATTTTCAAAGAAGATTTTAGGTAGACGTAACTTTTCTGAAATGTACGTGGGCACTGTGGGCTATCGGCACATACCAGGTTATGAAGTGTTTGTGGTGTTCAACCTGCCTTTTGTAGAGAAAGAAACTTCGTATTTTGCTAAATCTGGTTTGTAATAACTGGCATCATAGTGACTCTTCCCCTTGTTTGCATTTGCAGATTTGCTTCCTTCCATTCAAGGCTAGACTTGCCTCTGTATTTCTGTTCCTGCCTATATTCTCCCCCAGTTGGCTACCAGTTCTCCTTCCTAACATGCTTGCCCTCTCCTCCCCACCCCCCGTGTTCATTCATATGCCTTTCACATAAACACTCATCAGTTCTGTGAGGGATGATTTTCTGCTGGGTTACAGAGCCTGTTTTCTTTTACACACTGCAGCAGATACCAAAACATGATTTGAAAGTCCAATGGCATTTCAGAAAACGTTTCTTCTGGCACAAAATATCATCTAGAATGGATATAATTTCTTTTAGTAGTGTTAGCAGATTTTCAATAGCACCTCTTTCTTTGTTACTGTTGACTAGTTGTCAAATGTAGCATTTAAGAATAGAAGTTCTCGCTTTCTAATATGCATCTGCAGCTCTTACCCCCAAATTTATGGCATCGTGTGATGTATATACCTTTGTATTTAATGTGCGTTCCTGCAGATAACCTTGCACAAAACTGCTGGTGTTATTACTTAGGTGGGAAGACCTGAAGATCAAGAAGCTGCAGGGCTTGCTTTTAATGATCCAGCTCGGTGCATGTTTCTTGCTGAGTAATATCTTAGCATTGTCTTAACAGCCCCAAATCATCATCCAATAATAGATAACCGTGACTTAAAAATGAGGTCATGCATGCCTGTAGCCATCACAGATTTACTTGGAGATAAAGGAATGGCTAATCTCTTCATCTTGTTACATTTTGAATGTGGAAATCATTTCCAGCTTGCTTCCTTTAATACATAAACTTGTACGTAGCAGCTTTTTCAGTTCTGACCATACTAGTTCAGAGTCTGTGGTAGCCATGCTTACCTGCTCCTCTGGCTGGAGGGAGGGCTGGAGGTGTGCTTCATGATGAATAAATATTCATAGCAAAATATAAACTCTCTTCAAAGGTTAACCATTTGCCTTCAGATTAAATGGAGGTTTCCAGTTAGTCGTAGTAGCCCATCAACAGGCAGGCATAGGGCTTACTCAAGTCTCGATACTTTTTGAGCTGTGGCCTTTGGCAGGACTGGCAGTTTGGGTGAAAAAACTCCATTTGTGGGGTGGTATTAGTAGTAAAATGTTATCAGTACTATGTTGCATTTAGTTAAGCTTCATATTAAATGGTAGCAAGCTATGTATCACTTTTGAGTGTGTTAATATTGTAGAATCACAGAATGGTTTGGGTTGTGAAGGGCCCTTAAAGCCCATCTAGTTCCAACCCCCCTGCCATGGGCAGGGACACCTTCCACTAGACCAGGTTGCTCCAAGCCTCATCCAGCCTGGCCTTGAACACTCCCAGGGATGGGGCATCCACAGCTTCCCTGGGCAACCTGTGCCAGTGCCTCCCCACCCTCTCCAGGAAGAACTTCTTCCTGATGTCTAATCTAAATCTCCCTTCTTCCAACTTAAACCCATTACCCCTTGTCCTGTCACTTACAGTAGTTGTGTCCTGTCACTACAATATGGTTGCTCCTATTATATTTGTCACTATAACATTATGATCTTAAGTCATTGCATCCTTCATTGGCATTTGGAAATAACTTAGTGGATTATTACACATAATTGTATTTGCTGTATTATAAGTTTGGCTAATCATGGTTATACAGTTGTGACAGTAGCAAATGTAGTAGAAAGATAGAGAAGGGTAACTTTCTTTAACAACCTATTTGAAGAGTGTCTAGATCTTGTCTACTGGAAGTCCAGGTTCAACAAAAATCAGCTATTTTTTGTTTTAGCTGGCCAACGTTGGGGTTTGCTGTGCTCCAAACCATCTCTTCAGTTAGCAACCCACTTTGTTTTAATTCAAGTCATCTGTCAGCTTCTGGCATTGTAGCTAGAGGCTTGTTTTTTCACTTAACATTTCCTTTGCCCTTTTGAAGGTGTTGATTGCGTTTTATCAAGACTAAGCAGTGTTTGAATCTTTTATTACTCACATAGAACCAATGTCTAGAAGGGTTTACTCTTCCACTAAGAGGCCAGAAATCTGAGGCTCACAATTAACTCTAATCATAATCATCCAGTAAAACTTGAATAAATTGCACCATACAAGAATTACTATGCTGTTAATGCTTTAGGTGTTTGAAAGCTGGGAGTTGTTAGTCAGAGATATTCTAAGTCACAGTACTTTTGTTCCAGGACCTTCTAAGGCAACTGCAAAAGCAGTTGAGGACCAGGAATCTTGTCAGTGAGTAGAGCGGAGTTTGTATTTTAAGGTTCTGTTAGACCAGTGCCACGGTGCTTTTCAAGAAACCACTTATTTTACTGGAATACCCCTCAGTTTTCATAGGAAATATTACTATATAATGTGAGTGTACTTTATTTTTTGATATTTTTACTGATCTTCCTTCATAGAACTCATAATGACAACAGTAAAATTTCTGTATTGCAGATTTAATCCAGTGCACAAATGAGATGAATGTCAACATCCCACAGCTGGCAGACAGTTTGTTTGAAAGAACTACTAACAGTAGCTGGGTAGTGGTCTTCAAATCTCTCATCACAACCCATCATCTAATGGTGTATGGAAATGAGGTAATACAAAAATACAATATGCTGAGAACAGTTACAGCACTTCATTCCTGTGAATGTCAGCTCAGTGCTTCAACTGATTATCATTGTGAGGAAATCTTCAGTTTTACCTTTTTGGGTCTAACTTTGTGTGAACCCAGACCTCATTATATGTTTGTCTACCTAGTTTGTTTCTACTTTCAAGTTTTGGTAATTTGAGAATCAAAAATGTGTCCTGAATGCTGGAGGTACCTTTTTCTGTGGTGTTACTCTAACAATAAACCAACCAAACCCACACAAATTAACTTGAATGGGATTCTGAAAGCTGCCAATGGGAGCGTTCTGAAGTTCATGCTCTAGCTAATCCAGATGGACTTTTCTCCCAGATAACTCAATTCTGAGCTGATTTCCACCATCACCCTTAACCTTTTCTAGTGAAGACAAACGTGTGCCTGCGAGCTGGCTTCAAGTGTGAACATCTAAATAACACCATAGAACGCTTAAACAAACAGAACCCCGATTTACACAGAAAGGAATAAGCTTTTTTGTTCACAACCTGAATTCGCTTGGGCCCTTATTTTTTCAAAATGCCATGCCAGGTATAGCAGCAGCCTAAATTTTCTTCATTTAAAACCCAAAAACTATGCTGTTAAGGCTTTCTGACAAAGTGTTTGTAAACATTCCTTTTACTGCAAATGGTCAGTATAATGTAAGCTGTCCAGATCTTGGAATTAAGAGGGATAGCTTTAGAAAATTACAAATTGGCTTCTGTACAGAGGACCAAAACTTTTCATTTCAGGTTGCATTCAGAGATCTTGTAGGCTGTGGAACTGCTTCCTCTGGCTGACTGGCTGGGTTGGGGGGCATTTTAAGGTTTTGGGTTTTTTTTTTAAATAAAAAATACTGGTTTCTCTTGCAGGTTAGCTGCAGAGTATTTCTGGTCGTGGTGAAAATCTGTTCTTTGAAGCTAAGTAAGCCACAAGAGGGCAAACTTCTCATGTTGACTTAAGCATTATCGCTGGCATTACAGACACTTTCACAAATACAGTCTATACGCTTTTGCTGTGCTTGCACTTTGAGTCATATACATTTAAAACTCACACCAAAACACTTTGTAGTAATTAAAGGTATTTCATGGGACCGCTGTCTGCAGTACTTTACCTATAAAACTGCCAAACCAATTTTGCCTGACAAATCTGTTAAGAGTAATGAGGGTAAGATTGCGGGTCCAGATGAAACTTTTCAGAGCTAGAAATAATACGTGAATAATAAACATGGAAATCGAGTGCTTAGGAGAATGTCTAAAGTTTATAGAGAATCTGTAAATCCCTTTGTAAAAAAAGATGAAAAGCGTTTGGTCTTCCAGCTTTTGCATAATTCCTTTATTGCGAAGTACTGAGTGCCTTTATTCTTCTCCAGTCTTTTTTTTTCTGTGTAAACTATATGTTTTATGCTAATGAAAATACATGTTACGCTAATCAGCATTACTTTTTCCTCTGTCAAAATGTTACTGCAAGTGAATGATTGGTTTATTTTTGTAGCAGCTCCCTATAAAGTGGTTCATAAGACAAAATTTTCTTTCCTACTAAATGAAGATGTGCTGGCCATGATCTGAAATGTGTCTTTACAGGATGAAAATAGCATCATTCATTTTGTGAAACTTAATAGAGAATTGTTTGTAACTAGTGAGTTGTACGAAGTGTGATAACTGTGTTAATGTTTTATATGGATTTGTGTGTTTACTTAACATTTTATCTATAACAAAACAAATCTTTAGATCACCTGATTTTCATATTTAAGCAAAGTACTATTACAGTTGTATGCTGAGGAAAGATGCCTTGGCTAATTGGCAAAATGAAATCAACTGTTACAAAATTGAAGTTAGTCAAACAACTCTGAGCCTGTAAAATAAGAACATATTTGAGAAGATTTTTTCATATGTTTTCAGTTTCATGTTCTGGCTTAGAATAAACAAAATATTTCAGTCAGAGGCCTTCAGGCAGTATCTACATGACTGATTTGTTCAGATTTTTACATAAATAAGTAGCTTCATTTGAAAACAGATCTGAGTTTTTCTGATAGTTTCCATATTTTAAATGTCTTAAAGAATAAAAGCTGAATTTCGTAAGCTGGATAAAGAGTTTCTAGTACTGTTGCCTCAGTTCTAGCTCATTGGTGATATAGTAAAAGCATTGATTTTTTTTTCTTTCATCTAGCGTTTTATCCAGTATCTGGCGTCCAGAAACACATTGTTTAATTTGAGCAATTTCCTAGACAAAAGTGGATTGCAAGGTAAGGCCTCCTTTTCATTAAATGTTGGTAGTGTGCTGCGGGACACTAAATACAACTTGGTAACTCTAATGCACTGTGCCATTTAAGAAGTGATTTTTCTGTCTGCTTCACCCCAGACTGTGTTTCTTAACTTAAAATGTTCTTGTGGCATGGCAGAAGCTGGCTCCTGGCAGAATTTGTTGCATCTTTTTGGAAAGACTTATGTTTCTAACTTTCTTAGCTAAACAGATCTGGCTTAGTATCCCTCCGATTTCTGAAGAGATTTCTCTGTTTGGAGAGGTATATTTTGATTAGTAAGTTAAATTTCAAAAAAATGCATCATATGTACTTCAGATATGTCATGTTAGTGAAACAAAAACTGTGTCAAAAAAAAAAACCCACAACTTTTTGGGAGATTGTTTGAAGACCATTCCATCCAGCTTTGAGACTAATTTTATGAGTAGATGTTTTCTCTCTGATTCAGATTTTTCAAGTGAATACCCCTCCAAACTCTTACGCTGCAGTTCAGTGCAGTGCTGATGGTACATATAGATTATATGTATGCTGCTCATACATCTGGTTTTTGGGTTTTTTGCATCCTGAGGTGGTTTCTTACTTTCCATGTGGCTTTTCATATAGCTGGTTCCAATTTTTGCCACAGGTATGCTAAAAGAAGCACACCTACGAGAGTGGTTGCCTGGGGACAGAAACCTTCTCGGTGATAACCTAGGGTCTACTGAATTGCCTCATTTTACTTCCACGGTCTCAGTATAGATTATGAACAGATCTTTTTCTTGTTCTGTATAGACTGACAGTTATCAAAACATTTCCTATTGCCACTGTCTTAACATAGAAAAAATTATATCATGTCTTAATGTTTCTTTTTAGGGGTTTTTTTATGTGTTGAGTTGTAAATGAGAGAATGTTTTGTGGAGTTGGTGCAAACACCTTTGTGAATGCATCGTGTAATTTTTTTAGTAGTAATTTCTATCATAGTATCAGGGAACTTGCATAAAAATACTTTTGTTTTGCTTTTGGAAGTAATTTCCTTAGGAGGTGAAGTGTAAACTCCTACATAGTTCCCATCTTCTAGCTATGTGCAGCATTGTCTGTTTGAGTCATGTGACGACTACAGTGACGTACTTGGTTCTTGGTAACAAAGGTTAACTATACAAAATCAGGCAATAATATAATGAAGCTGTCTTGTGTTAATACCTTAAACTTTATTTAGGGTTAAGTTTTGTGATCTTTAATTGCCCAGGTAAGCAATTAAGCTTCTGAAACTTGTTTTTTCAGGTTATGACATGTCAACGTTTATCAGACGGTATAGTAGGTATCTGAATGAAAAGGCAGTTTCCTATAGACAAGTGGCTTTTGACTTCACAAAAGTAAAAAGAGGGTAAGGACTGTATTTTGTTTTGCTTATCTTGAGGTTTTGTCTTGGGTCTGTCACTCAAGTGGAAAACACTGATGTTGGCTCCAGCTTAGTACAGACGTGTCTGCTTTTCTCAGCAGGATAACTCCCGTGGCACACAAAGGCTCAACTGCCCAGTTATGTATGTTGCAAAAATATTTTACTTCAGTTATTGTAATTTAACTTTAAACATTAATGATTTAATATAAAGAAACAAAGTGGTGCGCACCAAAGAATATATCAAAAAAGTAGAAGTTTGGACAATCTTACACAGTAGATCACAAGGTTATTTTGTCTTGTATGTAGTACAGGGCACTACACAATTAACTTCAGTTCCTAGCTCTGGAGTGTTTAAATGCTGGATGTTTCCTGAACCAATTTGCAGTCCTTCCTGGTGTTTCTCTGTTCTTGTCCCACAATGTCAGTATGAATTTCACTACCTTTGTGAAGGGAATACAGTTCATAGTTTTGACAGAACACTGTAGTTATGTTCCTCAAAAGAGTTTGTCTACAGGAATTAAAATTTTCCCCGGAAAGTGAGCTCCTTTTGAGGAATCAGTTCTTTGAGACTAGGTACCTGTTTACATGTGAAACAGCACAGAGCACCAGTAGTTGGGTAAATTACGTGTTGTAGGGATTGATGGAATAAATCTGGAGATCTTCATTGGGGAGGCTGGAAAGGATGTACTGGTCACAATTGCAAGTCTTCCCATCTTTGTCCATTATCTTTGTATGCAGTGCTTTTTGAAGGTTAAAATCATAATTTCAGTTTCACATTTGGGTGTCCTTTGCCATTCCTACAGAGGGTAACTTAAGAATTAACTGACCCACAAAAGCCTCAACCTAAACCCGTTAAATGAGATGAATGCAGCAGTGGGCTGCCTAATGATACCTTGCATTAGTGTTACACAGCCATTTGAAACTGGCCTGAGAAGACTATCCAAATCCCTTGTACCTCCTTGCTAATACTGTACAGTCCATTTTTTGTTTTGAACTGTGGTGGTAAGGTGAAAGGGGAATGCTTGGGCTCCTCTCACTGTTTCTGCCCTAAGGGGTGGTCGGAGCCCCAGCGACATCAAACACCACCTTCTCCGCATAGAGGGTATGTGTGTGGTCAGGTGGGTGCAGAATGCACCCACTAATCAGATAATACACATAATCAGATGTTTTAGGCCTAACAAGGTGAATTATTTAGCCCACAGCACGTGCCTGGAGATCCTTCTGTGCTACCACCAGAAGGGGACCATTCCCCCTCACTTTTTTACAGGGGCTCTGCTCCCATACCCTGCCATGTTGTTTTTGCAGTTGCTCTTTGTTGTGAGGTGGAATATATGGCACAAGTAGAAAGCTGGAAGCAGCGTGCTCTCCGTTTCTTTCCAGCCTGGAGCACAGCCGCAGCCTGTTCTGTGCAGATGCACTGTGAGATCCGCACTTGTGGGAAGCGTTTGGTTTGCTGTGTGCGTGCTGATGCCGCTGCAAGGCTGTTTGATCTGTCTTACAGAGAGCAGTTGTTTGTGTCACTGCGATGATTTATTCTCTTCCTCGATTGTTGCTTTTCTTGGAGTGTTGTTTTTCTTACTGCTTTTAGTTGAAAACAATCAGCCAGTGTGACACGAAATAATAATCAGGTGATTGGAAAAGCATAGGTAAAAATTGGCTCAGGAAATAACCTTCAGAGCATTTTTTGGTTACCTGAAGCATCACAGCTCTGCTACATTTCTGGGCACTATCAGTTCCATTTCCTCTGAATAAAACTTAATCTTGCATTCATATTTTGGCCAAATAAGTGTGTAGCTTTTGTACGCTGCAGTTATTACAGTTGCTTTGGCTAGTCAGCATTCCTGAACATCAAAATGCCTGCTTTGAATGGCAATGATTTCAGTGTTTTCTCTGATAAGCCATTTTATTTTCTGCTTTATGTTTCTCACTAACATTTGCCTTCAGACTTCAGGTGAAGACTTTTCTTTTGTTTTGCATAACAGGGCCGATGGAGTGATGAGAACAATGAGCACAGAAAAACTCTTAAAAACTGTACCAATTATACAGAATCAAATGGATGCACTACTTGACTTCAATGTAAGTGTAGCAGCATGTACATGTCTAACATACTGTTCACTCGGTTGTACAAACCTCACAAGCTTGTAAAATAAGTAGATAAGTCTCTTGAGCTTGGTTCCATGTTACCTGCACAACTTAAATAGCACAAATCTTTTTTGTTCATTGATATACCCCCAAGAAAGCAGAAAAAAGAAAGGATGCTCACTGGAGAGGATGCTTTGTGCTAAATTAGCATTGTTTGTTGTGTACATTGTGTAAGAATGGTTTGTTCATTTAAAAATTGATTGTTTCTGCCCTCTTCTTTTAGTTAACATTAACATTAGTTAACAAAAATGTCTGCCAAAATGATTTGATTTAGTTCTGTGCTGAGTGATCCTGTGCTGATTTGCTCTGCTGCTACTGTCCATTAATCACCAGAGAGAGGATTGGGAAGCACGCCTTGGGATAGAGGACTGGAGTTCAACTAGAAGTTTTCCAATAAGGGATCAATTCAGTTAAATTAACTTTTCTCTAATCTCCCTAGGTCAATAGCAATGAACTTACAAATGGTGTAATTAATGCTGCCTTCATGCTTCTCTTCAAAGATGCCATTAGACTGTTCGCGGCATATAACGAAGGGATTATTAACCTCTTGGGTAAATATAACTGCTTTCTGCAATGTTAAACTTTGGGGAGGGAACTCAGTAAACAGTCACAAAAGAGCTGCTGCTCTTTGAGAAGTTGAAACGGTCTTGCTGTAAAACATCAAAATATTACTGTTATTTCCAAGTCAGATTTTATTTCCAAGGTTTTTCCGGCCAATTGCATTTTCCATCGTGTTTTATAAAAAAAAAAAAAGGGCAAACACAAAAGCAGGGCCAATTCAAAAATTCTTTGGTTAATTTTTTCTTGCATGTCTCTGTTTCGGGTTTGGGGATTTTTTAATCTCCTTGAGCTTCATGGCAAACCCATCATGGTACTGATGTGTGTTTCTTAAAGAAACAGGATCAGGTTTTGTTTCTTAAGTTATGTTCAGTTACAGATTTGCAGTCACAGCATCTGTGATTGCTTGGCTATCAAAGCTTTAGTGTTAGTTGGTTTTAATGATTGGTTGGCTTATGTGTTTAGAGCATATCTCACATTCTAAGGGGAATTACAAATTCAGGCTCCAGGCCTTTTCACTTGCACACACTGGAGATGTAGGTGGGCCTGAATTTGAAAAACTGATTTGAAAGGAATCTGATTTTTCTCATTTTGGTTGTATTCTGTGATTGGATCAAGCTACTTGATTGCTGTTACTACCTAGTGCTTCCAAAATGTAAAGCAAAATCAGTCAGTACAGCTAAGTTGTGCTTCCAGTCTGAAGCCTCAGTAAGAAGAACTACCATGCAGTTGCTTTCGCTCATATTTTGAGTGAAACTTAATATAGGAACAGGCCTTGTAAGTGCCATTTCAAGGAGGGTGGGACCCTCTCACTTTCAGCACCGGTGCTTCGTCATCAGAAGCATGTCATTGTAGACCACACCATAACAGGAGGCACCAGTCTGGCAGGGAATATCAAAATCTTCCCTGATACGTGGCCACTGGAATAGACTAGATCTTTGTCTGCCAGATGGTAAAGTTGCCTTTTTTTGTTTTACCCCAAGAGGATGAATAAACATTTCTTTAGATGACCTATTCTTAAGCTTGGTTGCCCTGCTCGGGGGGGTTGTGTGCGATGCAGTGCCTGCAAGGTAAGGCGTAGCTGCATGCATGTTGTGACTGTTAGCTCACGGGCAACGGAGCTTTTGCCACTTGGTGCAAATTAGGCATAGTGAGTTCTGCAGTTAACATCATAAAATCAATCTGCAGGCATTTTGTTTGTCATGTTTTATATGCTTTTACTTTGCATATCCTTGGCAGAATGCTTGGTTTCTTATTTAATGCGAGTATTCTTACTGTTTATAGAAAAATACTTTGATATGAAAAAGAACCAGTGCAAAGAAGGCCTTGATATATACAAGAAGTTCCTCACTAGAATGACACGGATCTCGGAGTTCCTTAAAGTTGCAGAGGTAAACTTCAGTCAGCTAAACTTTGCCTTTTATTTGAAACAGCTTGTAAAGTACTTATTTTCTAATAAAGCAGTTACTTCCTCTTTCCAGCTTAATTGCAGTTCCATCAAGGGGCATCTTGTCAGAGTCTACCCTAGTAATTAGCTCATGTGAGGACTGTAGTGAAAAACCTGACTGCAAAGTACTTACTGGTTTATCTTGTGCGCAAGGAAGGGGTATAAATATGCATTTTAAAATTTCCTCAGTTACATAATAATTGAGAGCTTTTTCTTTGAACAAGAGCCTTGTGTTTAACAATTAAAGTAACTTCATGGTGATCTCTGCTTTCTATGATTCTAGTTTGAAACTCGCAATTCTGCCATCAGTTTTAGATGAAATAACAGCTTCACAAAGAAGAAATTGAAACAAGCAGATGAACGTGTGATTTGGTGTTTTTTAAGATGTCTTGGCTTATAGGTGTGTTTATAGAGGAAAAAGCACTTACCTTGCAAAATGTTTTGTTTGTGGAGTTTTTTTAAATTCATTTACTCTGTTACATTCTTATTTCTGAAGGATTGCTGAATTGATGTCCTAGTATTACGGGATTCCTCAGTTGAGATGGGCTCCTGTTCTTGTTTTGCTTTCCTTCATTATTCATGTGTCTCAACAAAAAATCAAGCTGTAAAGCTTGGCCTGCTCTCGGTCCTGACAGGATATCTCTGTCAGAGATGCTACCTTCAGCTCTCCTCAGCTGATAACACTACCCTGAAATTGAGGGTATTAATCTTTCTGTTGTAGCTGTGTATATCCGGCGGCAGAACATCTTAAGTTTGATCTGCATTTTAGAAAACAGCTTCTTTGCAAAACTTTGGTAGTGTTTTGCTTTAGCAAATACACGCTCTACATCAGCAGGTATGAGGATTTACCATATAATTTGTGGTAAATAGGCAAACTTTGCCAGCTTTAAAATTCTGAAACACTTGATTCTTACTCGCTTCTATTTCTAAGTTTGTATCTGTTAAAATACCTCTAACGCCTATTTCAAGTGTGTGTATGCTTACAGAAGAGTTTATTATAATCAACCATTATAGAGTTCAGACTGTGGAGATTTAAAATGTATATGGACAGGTTTGTGCTTTCTTAAATGACTTCATCCTACGGTGGTTTGCTTTTTGTGCTTCTCTGCCTTTAACAAAAGCAAACAGGTTCTAAAGCTCATTTGTTTTATTACAGCAAGTTGGAATTGACAGAGGAGACATACCAGATCTCTCACAGGTAGATAAACCTATTATATGTTTGCCAGTACATGTCTGTTTTGGGGCTTGCGTAATCAGAAGAACTTGGCATTATGGCATTCACTTACGCTTTCCTGCGTGCATTGTCACCAAGTTATTTCCAAGTTTGTGATTAAATCCAACCTCTGTCCGAGCCTGGCTTTTATATGCAGTGATCCTATTGTAAAATATTACAGATAATTTCTGTCATACTCTAATTGAGTTTTAAGATAATCTTTTTTCTACCATGCTTGAAGACACAATTTGTATCTGTGAGTTGACATAATGAAACTTTTCTACGATATTAAGAAGCTGTGGGTTTTAGCAAGCTTGCTTTTGGCTATATGCCCATTTAAATCATCGTGAAGGCTTGCAGAGCATGCACATAGAAATGTCTTTAAGTACAATTTCCTTCTTAGTGTCTCTTGAAATACTGCCTCCGATTGCTTGCTCTTTCCTAGCTGTTCATTTTAACATCTCTTGATATATTTTAGTACTTCCTGGTGAGTTGTCATGACAGGTTAAAGTAGTGAGGAGAGTACATCACCTGATATTTTAAGTAGTTAAGTATGTACAGGATGCCAGGATGTGGTAGAATTATTCTGAGCTGGTGTACCAGTTGCCCTACTGTTGCATTCTCCGAAAGTCTTGTAACTACTCGATTGCTTCGCCTTACACTGGGGAACAGATTTGAAAAATCTCTCATTTTACAGGCACCGAGTAGCCTTCTTGATGCTTTGGAACAACATTTAGCTTCTCTAGAAGGGAAGAAAATCAAAGATTCCACAGCTGCAAGCAGGTGCTTATGCTTTTATCCTTTTAAACAGTTGTTGAATCAAATGTTAAATCCATTATTTTCCGTTTCATCATCAACTAAGGTTTGTGTAGGCTACGTTGAAGATGCTGCATTCACAACGATAGGACAGCAAGTTATCATAACTTCTGCTGCGTATTTACTACAGCTTCTTCCAGGTCAGCAGAACTGGTATCTAGGGAGCTGCAAGCACTTGCTGTAGAACCCCTTCTCCAGTAGTTACACTGTTAACGGTTAATCTTGAACTTGTGAAGAGCAGCTAAGGGTTGTTTTCATTTACTACCTACAAATGTTCATTTTATGTTAATAATTAGACTTCTGTAAGGTATACAACAATTATTAAAGTTCCTAGACTCTTGTATCTCAACTTCTCAATGCTTTTTTTATCAAAAGCAAGGAAATGCTTCCAGAAGTCCTTAAATTAAGAAAGGATTTTAAAAGTAATTGTGGATTAAAGCCATCCTGTATATGGTAAAAGGCGTTCACTGATTCTGAGTGCTTGCTGAATCACAAAATGCAATCTAGAGAAGTCCACTAGGCAACTAACTTAATTGTTTAAATGGGAGAACACTTGCAAAATGAGATAGCATTTCTTTATTGCATGTTCAAAAAACTAAGCCATAATATTTAATGTTCTTGTTTTATTTTAGTGACAATATTAGGGCTTAGCACCATTTTTTTAGCTACTTTTCAGAATATTTACTTCCTTTTGTAGGATCAATTTGTTTTAAAAGCTATATATTTGCTTTAAACCTTTTTGCACACTCGTAAACTTGATAAATTGCATACTTTCCTCTGGGATATACTGGTTGCATTGATAGTTTCTGAACTAAACCTGTTAATTTGGCAACAACTTGAACTGGAGCCCAGATTCTCAGTGGTTCCCATTTACCTATAAACAGTGCCATCTTATGCAAACAGGAAAAGAGCAAAGGCTCAAAACATGATTTCTGTGATGCAGTTTGGAGGGAAAACATCTAAGGATAAAATACAAACTAGTAGATATCATTCTTTCCAGGGGTGTTCATGTTGCTGTTCATGCAGTGGATCTTATTTAAACCATTGCTTGGTATTGCACAGTGTAAGATACAACCAGTGTTATAGAGAGTTCAGAAGGGAATGGGGTGGATACAAGCAAAGTGTTTTTTAGTGGTTCCTATCACGTGTCACCTGCTAACAGCCAGCTTTGCTCCTCCCCAATTCCTGTAGGGCTACCACCCTTTCCAATGCGGTCTCTTCCCTTGCAAGCACTGGCCTGTCCCTCACAAAAGTTGATGAAAGGGAAAAACAAGCTGCGTTAGAGGAAGAACAGGCTCGCTTAAAAGCTTTAAAGGTAAGCATACAGAATTTTTAATTGAAAAGACTCTTCCTATGTTCTTATTGACAGCTTACTGAGATTCTTAAAGGAGCCAAAGGGAAAAAAGGCACTTATTAATACATTGAATAATTAATACTTTAATATTAAATAATTTTAAAAGGGCCTCTGCCATGTGTGGCCTGGGGGAACCTCGCAGCTGCCCCCACAGATTCAACATCCAGAGATTTTGGAGGCAAAGTTTTTGCAGTGGGGGTTTTATTTGGAGCCCTCAACATCAGAAGGATATAGACCAGTTGGAGTGAGTCCAGAGGAGGCCACGAAGATGCTCAGAGGGCTGGAGCACCTCTGCTATGATGAAAGGCTGCAAGAATTGGGCTTGTTCAGCCTGGAGAAGGCTCTGGGGAGACCTTATAGCACCTTCCAGCACCTGAAGGGGCTACAAGGAAGCTGGGGGGGACTTTTTCCAAGGGCCTGTAGTGACAGGACAAGGGGTAATGGGTTTAAATTGAAAGTGGGGAGGTTTAGATTAGATATCAGGGAGAAGCTCTTCCTGGAGAGGGTGGGGAGGCACAGGCACAGGTTGCTCAGAGAAGCTGTAGATGCCCCATCCCTGGAAGTGTCCAAGGCCAGGCTGGATGAGGCTTGGAGCAAACTGGTCTAGTGGAAGATGTCCCTGCCCATGGCAGGGGGGGTGGAACTGGATGATCTTTAAGGTCTCTTCCAACCCAAACCATTCTGTGATGACTGGAAGTAGAATCTTCTGTCCATGCACCATACAACATGTGGAGGGTTTGTTAACATAGTTTCTGAAGGATTTGTGCTACTGCTGACTCTTGTAAGCTGACACTAGTGGGTGGAATAAATAAAAAGGATTCTTTAAGTTTTGCTTTACTTACTCCAAAGTCATATACACAAATGCTGTTTCTGGATTTCTTATGCCAACTCACTTTCCCAACAGGAGCAACGTCTAAAAGAACTTGCAAAGAAACCTCATACCTCTTTAACAACTGCAGCTTCTCCTGTGTCGACTGCAGCAGGAAGCATAATGACTACACCAGCCATTGATATTTTTTCTACCCCTAGCTCTTCAAACAGGTATGCTTAATGGTGTTGCTTCACTGAGAGATGTGCTGCAGCCAGGGCTTCATCTAAACTTCTGCTGCCGAGTGTACGTTGCAGAAGGTTGGTTGGGTGTAGCCTACATTAGTGATGTGATAAAAAACGATGTTTTGGGCGAAATTGATGGAAAATAACCTATTGCCCTAAATAAAATAAAAAGTATGTCTTCATTGTCCGTTTACAGAATAGTTTCTGGTAAGACCAACTGCTGACAGCCCTTGTAACTGTTCTTAGTCAGGGAGCCAGACAGTTGGCACTGTAAAACACACGTGCTTTGGCCCCAAAGAACCTTACAAATTAATTTGGGAGAAGTAAAATAAAAATCCAGTTTGGGAGGTCATAAGGGTAATAGTGAATTTAATGTTGTATTTCTAGCTTTTTAAAAAGGAGAGTAGTAACTAATGTTCTTGGTAGACTTTCAGACAAAAGAAAGCCTGAAACAGGGTTTGAAAGAAGAGAGGCAGGTTTTGCAGTCTTGAGTTGTATCTGGAACATCTGTCTGCCAGGACTTGCAGAGATATAGTACAAGAGTACTCGCTGCACACTGATCCTGATCTTTGACTAGCAGGAACTGTTGGTATGAGTAAGTGTGTGATCTTCGTTCCATGAAAGATCTCAAGCGCTAGCAGAAGGTACAGAGCTTTTATCAAGTATAGAAGGAAATAGCTCTCTGAAGGCATATTTTTGCTTTGGGTGTGATTCTAAGATTGCTTAGTAGTTCTGTTAGAGCTCACATAATAATCTGCTTGTCTTCTTTAGCTTTTTGTTGTTCTTTAGAAGTAGTCAGCACCTTGACAGCCTTCTTTCCCCATTAGAAAGGTCTTGTAGGAAACTGCTTGACACAGAGTATGAGGAAAATAGCTGAATCGCATCTTGGCAGCTAGAGAATCTGTCAGTACTAGTAACTGAAAGACTTCCTTGAGAAAAAGATTTGCCTTTAAAACCCTTTGGCTTTTTAGAGGCCGAAATATTTGAAATGGGTGTGTGCTTTCAACTACCAACTTGGAATATCTGATCTTGCTTAAGAGGTCTGAAACATAGAAACATCATATAAAGCTGCTTCAAAACACCAGAAAAGCTACATGGTGAAGACAAGAGCATTTTCTTCTAAAAAGACAGATGGTAGTTTGTCATGTTTAAATTTGGTTGCTGGCAGTGTGACTGTTATCAGCAAAGAACAGATTTTTGCAGCAGGAACTGCTGTGAAGGGGATATGTTGGGTCATGAGTTCAGTTGCTTGCTATTAGATGCAGTGTGTCTGATTAATCCCTATCATTAATTTGGACAAGCTTTACCTTGAAAATTATCTTGATTCTGCTGCTCATGTCAGGCTGTGCCAGACCATGCTGCTTTTTGTTAGCAGTAGTAGCAAAATGTGATTTCAATCACTGTTGAAATGAAATATTAGAAACTGAATTATAAAAGTGATTGAGTCACCGAGAGAATATACAGAGATCTAGCATGTGGCTGCTGGCCTTCAAATTCTTGTGCCAGTCTCACCTAGGAAGATGCTTGGATGCCCCAGTGACTTAGCTTCTGTCCATGGTAGTGGCTGTGTGTGCAAATCTTGGTTCATTTTGTATGCTGAAGAGTTCTGGTTGAACACTGGTACTCTTATAAAAAAATAAGTCAAGGCTAATTTAAAGTATGAAATGAACTCTGCAGGAGAATGAATTTTATTGTTTCTGTTTAACTCTTGAAATGATTGCAGCAGTTGTATTTAACACTTCACTCTTCACTTCCATGTGATGTTCTTGGGTCTCATTTTTTGGATAGCCTAAAAGTACATTTAAATGAGTTTTCTCATGGCTGATGCATGACAGAGTGTTGCAAGGTTACTTATATTTTGCTTTCCCTAAAGTTCTTTAATAGCTCATAAATGTAAGGCAGTTTCTCAGCACTGGTTGATTGTGGAAAGAGATGAATTGTGGCATTTAGCTGCAACACTTTGCTGCAGCCCATCAGAGTTCATTCTGACAGTCTGCTTTTGTCACACGGTAGGGCTTTCATGAGGTTATTTTAAAAGCTGCCGAGAGTGGCTGAACAGAACGTGCTCCAGCCCTGGCGTTGGGCTGTGAGGGAGATGAGAGGACTGGTTATCTTTCTGTCTTAGACAGCTTTGATAAGTCACTTGGCGTAACATACAACTTAGCTTGCTAAATCAACACTTTTCTACAGAACTGAAAAGGTGAAGTTCACCAGACTGCCTGATTTTGGCTTAGTTCTACCCATTTTGTAACAACCAGTTTGTATCGAAGCTTCCCTTACTGTTGACAGTCACTAGCATTTGCCTTGTCTTGAAATCTGTGAGGTAGTTCTAACCGTTGTATTACTTTGTCTTTGTAGCACTTCAAAGCTGCCAAATGATCTGCTTGATTTGCAGCCAACTTTTCATCCCTCTGTACACCCCATACCTGCTGCTCCACAAGTCGGAAGTACCTGGGGAGGTAAGAATTCTGAACTGGGGTAAGGCTCTAATTGCCACGGTTATGTTCCTGGAAATGTTTCCCCCAGTCTGTGGGTTGTTTCTTCCTTAAAAACAGAGATACCACAGAGACAAGCTACAAGTGGATGAAGGGAGCTGGGGGAAAAGTCAAATGTGGGTATGGATTAAAATGTTGTAGCAGTATGTGGTGATTAGAAGGAAGTTTGGGGGCAAAGTTCCTTTAATTGTCAGCTTCACTACTGCTCTCTTTAAGTCGCATAGCAAGTCACAGAAAGGTAGCTGTGAGAAGTCAGTTCTGTGCTGGAGTTTGTCAGATAGCCTGTGTTGCATACACAGGAACTGGAATAAAGAACTCTAAATACATGTTAAGGTTTGTCTCATGTTAAATGAAATCTGCAGGAGATAATCTAGCAGAACTCAGATGAGGCCTGGCAGGAGGCAGTTGTGGCAACAATGCATAGAAAGCAAGACAAGCCAGAGTTAGCTACTGAAAACAAAGTAAGGCACTTCTACAAATTCTCTGCTGTATTTCATTCAACTCCAAAGGCAGATTAGCAAAAAGCAGTGGTAGGATCTCTTTGAATTTAAGAGACAAAATTTGTAAGGAACTCTTCCCTCCAAAATTTACTTCAGAACACCCAAGTGATGGTTCTGCCCAGTTGCTAGGATGGGCTGAAAGAGATCTCGTTGATACAGGCAAGTCCCTAAACCAGGGAGGCAGGCAGGAGTGTTCTAGAAAGTCGTGAATGTTACTTCAAGATTAGTTTGTGTTAGAGCATTTCGTCATTTACTCGAAGCTGGTTTCCTCTTTGCTGCTGTGCAGTGTTCCAGAATACTTCTGATACAGGTACTGTAGTGCTTGCTGGCACTGTTGGTTATATTGCTGGAGGAGTAAAAACCCCTACAGAGATGCAGATAAGTCAAAAGAAACATAAATACTATTTCTAGATTTCTTTTTTATAAATGGGATGCTTTTAAAAATACTGTGTTTTATGATGTGAAAAATTGGGAGTTGCTGCTTCAGGAAGTTTTGTAGGCATCGGAATGATCCTGTTATGAAATTTTACTGCACTATTTCTTTTTATGAGCTGTAGCTTTTCCTAAACGTTTCCAGTTATCTAACATCATCATAAGCAGTGTGCGTATTCTACTTTCTGCGTACTCTTTGCTGTGCACCTTGCGTTCTGTATACCTTCTCACATTTGTTTGTAGGGAAGCCACACTGTTTTGGGTGACGGAGACAATAGTGATACATGTCATACCATCAAAAATAAACGAACGTATTTTACTTGTCCTTCAGTTTTGCTGAGCGGAGCATCTTTTGAGAAAGATGCAGTGAGGAGGGTACTGAGCTGTGCATTCCAATTTCAGTGCTTAATAGGCTTAGAGTTTAGGAATGGGGAAAAGTGTTTTGGCTCATCTCATTTGCTTTCCAGAAAATATCTTCTGTTTCAGCTAGTTCTACTTGTTTCATGGGTAAGAGAGAAAAGGGGGAATTATCTTCCTCTGGCATTTCTTTATTAACCTGAAAATTGAGCCTGGAAGTCTGTGTGTTCAGTGTTGTGTTACTCCTGGTAAGGGTCTTCAGTTATAGTCATTGGTATGGCAGCTTGCTACTGACACATTTCTAATACTTCTAAGGTTTAATTAACTGAAGATTTCAGATTTGTCTGCTAAACTTTTAGGCTAAAATTCTGGGATCAACATTTTTTTGGTTACCTTTATTAAAAAATAAAAACCTCTTCAGCTTTACAGACGTGAACACACCTCACGTAGGTGAGGTAGGTAAGAAGTGCTTTCCACATCTTACAGATGGGGAAATCTGAGCCATCAAGTGACTTGTCTGAAGTCACACGGCAAGTCAGTGGCAGAGCCGAGAATGGAACCTGAGCTGTTTCCAGTCCTGTGCTCTAACCACTGCACAGCATCCCCCCCTTAGGTCACCTTCTGCCACCGTGATGTTTGTTGTTGGTGTATGTGGCGACTGAGGAGCGCGTCAGACCGGCTGCAAGTTGCAGTGGGCTAAAAGCAGCTGCTATCAAAAACTTCATGCAGCAACCCTTAGGTGTGTAATAAATGGATAAGTTGTTACAAAGGCAGGGTTTCTGCCTCTTGACCTGCACTTCCAAAAATGCTAAAGCTGACAGGGCTAAAAACTCCTGGACAATGGGTTCTGTAATTGCATGTTTTCAGTTTAGTCTTTTCACACCGTAAGAGATGCCACTGAAAAAGCTTTGTCATTGTTCTCTCAGGTAAAATACTTCTAGTTGGGTAACTTTTAGGTAGAAGTTTGCAAAATTCGAATTACTCTTTTAAATGCACCTGAATGAGTAAAGCATAATGATAGCCTGCGGGTGCAGTGACTCCACCAGCACAAAAGGATGCCATGTGTATTCAAGGATAAAACTGGGCTTACAAATGTTGAGGTGTTGCTGCCAGGAGAGACAGTGACTTTTAAAATCTGAATATGCAAGTATATAAATTACCCAAACACCATTAATTTTCCAGTTACCTTTGTCACTAGCATTCTCAGGTTTTGAGACTTGGACAAGTTTGAAGACGCTGGCTAGGATTAGAATGAGACAGAGAAGTGAAGAGTCTGAGCACAGATTACACGGCTGAGAAAACCGTGATATACTGAACTGAAGTTGCGTTGTCTTACTAGTCAGAACACATGAAACACTGCACAGCCTCAGGATTTGGGACCAGAAAGTAGTACGTAGTAATTCTCCTGTTGAGTGTATGTATAAAAATAATTCCAGTGGATAGTAGTTTCAAACAAATGGCTAAAGAATCTTGTCCTTTTTAGCTTCTTTCATATTGCTTTATCTGAGCAGTTTATTGGGATCGTTCAGAGTCCGTTCTAGCTGTCTGGTATGTTTGCCAGCTATCAATTTGTACCTAAAATTCAGAAGCAAAACAAATGTATCAGTGTGGAAATAATAAGTTTGACCTATCTGTTTGGATTTTTTCCAATTACAAGGACAACCAATAGAGCCAGAAGAATGTGAAGCAGCAACAGAAAAAGCAAACAGGAACTGATGAAGGGATCATCTGACTTGTTTTGTTGTCAGATCTGTTTATTCTGCAGGAGCCAGAATAGCATTCAAAGCAGACAACAGCTTTGAGCAGTACCTGAAAGCAAGGACTGTTTCAGGTGACTGATTGGCATGTCCACAAGTGCATTAGGTGGTAATACTACTGTCTAAGACATAAATAAGGCAATACCAAGTTTTGTGTTGCTGTTATATATTGCAAATACTATATTAGCTTATTCTGCTACTCCTTTATTTAGTGTTTGACACTGTCAATTTTGCTGACAACGATTCAGAAAAAGGTTTTTGAAGATACTTCACTCATTCTCTCAATGTAGCCAAGTAATCTGGGGAGAAATCAGGTCTTGCTGAATAAGATATCTGAAGCTTGCAGAAAATTAAAATATGTATTAAGCCTGCAAAGAATAATGCAGTTATGGTTTTAAAATTGCATTTTCTTGAGGACTTGCATATGACTGAAATCGACAGGTTATCAAGATGTGTGGGAATTATAGCTAAGAGTCAGGGAGAGAAAATAACTCAGAGTTTGAAGCTGCTGCACACATCGTGGTAGTATTTACAAGAGTTGTGGATAAATTGGTAATCAACCAGTTTTGGGTTTTGTGGTGGGTGGCTTTTGGTGTTTTGTTTTTTTTTTAATAAAAGGCCAGAAACTGAAGTAATTAAGAAATTTATCTGCAGTGGTTTTGCCTGGAAAGTAAGTTGCAGTTCTAGGCACTGTGATAAATCAAACAGGACTAGCTGATCTAACTAGAGAGTTCCTGAGTTTTCCGTCAAAGATTCGTGTTCTTTGAATCAGGCAGCTAAACCACAACTCCTTCTGTCAGCAAGCCCTGTAGCTGCCTTTCCTATCCTGTGGATCTGCCGGATCCGGGAGTACAGGAGTATTTTAGCTTGGCAATTGTATCCATCCTCAGGAAACCTCGTAACTCTCCTATATACCTCAGGAGGGGGCTCAGATCCATGTTTCCTTTAGTCCCTGGTATGGTCCAATAGTTTGGGGTGGGTTGGTTATTTTGGGGTGGTTTTGGGTTTTTTTTTTCATTAGGAACGTTTTTCTTGTCACTGCTCGCTGGCTGTTGTCCCTCAAAGCAGAGCAAGATTTTGCTCACTTGCAGCTAATGGCATACCCACAACAAGCTTGTTGCTCCTGATGGCCCAGGTTGTAAGGAAAGTGCTTTTCTCCTTGGTGTAGTCATAGCTCTTGAACATTTCATGATGCCCAGTAACAAAACCCACCAAACATAAACACAGTTTGAAGAAGGAAAAATACAGCTCCACTGTTTGTGCTCGTTCAGGTTTTTAAAGCTCTCCTGAGGATGGTATTGCATCGCATCCTTACTTAGCACCTGGGGCTCTGTTATGCTAAGAGGCAGTTTCTGCTCCAGAGAATTTGTTGCAAGTATCAGGGCATAACTGAGTAAAGCAAAAAGTGATTGTGTTTTAAAGAGGAAACACATCCTAAATTTCTGTATGAAACACGCTATGGAAAAGCACATTTCATAAGACCAAGATGGTATTAATTAAAACAAAAACCAGTAAATGTGTAGTCAATATCTAGTATTTTTCTTGAGCAGAGAACAGATAATTCTGGACAATTTGAAAATTAAATAATTAGTGAGGTTATCCCAAGTTTAGAGATGTCAGGAGAAAACTATACTTCCTGGACTCTTCTTAAGTCTTAGTTCTGTGCCGAGGAAGCAGCCTGTAACTAAATCCATCTCCCTTTTCTTCTTTCTCTTGCTCCCTGGAATTGAACAGATCCTTTTTCTGCTACTGTTGATAGTGTTGATGATGCCATTCCAAACCTAAATCCTTTCCTTACAAAAACTAACGATGCTGCTCATCTGTCTGTGTCTTCTGATGTATCTACTTTCACCAGTAGGACACCCACACATGAAATGTTTGTTGGTAAAGTACCATTTTAAACTAATTTCCTATTTTCTAAGCAGTTTAACATTTTAATTTCTAAAGTATATTTGTGGGGCCTTTCAGAAACTACAAACTGGTCATTTGGGGCTGAATTTGTTCTGTGTTAGAACTTGATTTAGTAATTGAGCAAAGAAGATGGTGTTAAAGTCCTTGCTTGGATACCTAGATGGTATTCTACGTGATGTAAAGGAACTTAGGGCAGTTGTTTGAGTGCGGTTTTACACAGTCCTAAGAGTTTGAAGGCAAAATACTATGTATGCCTGAGAATGAAAAGAAAGTGCTACTTTATTCCTCAGGTTGAAACGTTCTTTATAAACATAGGAGCTTAATCAGATTTATTTTGGTAGTGGGTGTTTCTCCCCAACTTGTGTTGGCATTAACAAAACTGACCCAGCTGTGCATGTTCTGGTGCACGGTCTGCTCAGACGTTTACCTACTAGGCACTGAACTAAGGACTCACCCGTTGAACACTGCTGAAATCTCACTTTGGAGGTGATTCAGCATGGCTGTCGTATTAAAATCCTTCCAGCATTTCTGGTGGTGTAGCTACGTAGTAATTTGTTTCCTTTTCAATTAGCTTTCATAGACTAAAAATCAATTAATTATACACCAGTTCTTTTCTTAAGCTGAGCTAGGTTTAAAGGCAGTTGTGCTGCACCAACAGGGCTTTCTTTTGGCAGGTTGAACCCCACTCGAACCGATCATAGAAGGAGCCAGACTCTTGTAACAGAAATCTCTCTCTGATACTTGTAAACAGAGATAAAGGAATCTCTTTAGAGAGATACGTACCGCCTGCACTTTGTCACCACAGCTAACTAGTTTCCCAGCTTGTCTTGGGTTAGTGGAGAGAGAAAGCGAGCAAGAACTCTTGCTGTGAACCTCCCCACAATTCCCAGGGAGGATTAGTCGGCTGAGGCAGTAGTACACAACTACTTTAAGCTGGTACTGCTGCCTCATAATCCGGCCTGTGCTTCTAATCGATCTTTCCCACGCTTCCAATAAAGTTTGTATGTTCATGTGAATGTAGAATGATCATTTGAAATCCACCTTTTCTGGGTAGGGTTGTTACTCAGCCAGATCAGTTTCCTCCGGGTAGTTTGTTCTGCGGTCGTACAGAAAGTTGTGGCAGTGCAGGGCTGAGAAGGAGCCTGGTGGGTTTTGCTGGCCCTGGCTGATTTCAGCTCGTCGCACGACAGCCCTGGAGGTGGATGACATTGCTTTGCGTTCCCTTCCCGTGCCTCATCCTCTGAAGACGCCCCTAGATCAAAGTGTGACCCCCTGACGCGTTGACATGTGAGACGTAACTGCAGTTTTAGCTGTAGCACGGGCGAGGCGCTACAGTAATGTGAATGCTGGTTTAAAATAACTCTTTCTGGTTCTTTAGATCATTACAATCCATTTACTGAACTAAATCCCTTTGTGGCAACAAAATATGAATCCACTATTGGGCTGTATCCTTATACTTCAGGTATAAGAAAAATGCCTCGAAGCTTTTACACTCGTTTTTGACAAGGGTGTAAAACGTGGCATTTGCTTGGGGGGAATAAATAAAGTATTTATGCTAATGTAGCTGTAAGTTTGCAACCGTGCTCTCCCCTTTTGTGTTAGAGAGAATGGTTTTTTGCTGTATGTCTGATGTGTATTGGTTTCATTCCATTGGCTCTATGTTATTAGAATATATGTGGATTTATAGACTGACCTGAAATTAAGTTTTTGATCAGCAGATAAACAGTATCTCTTGGTTCTCTTTCTGTAACTCTCCCTCTTCTCCTTTCCTGGCTTTCTCTCTGGTGTGATATGCCTTATCAGATTCTTTTTGTGGTCCTCAAGCTTACCCTAATGCTTCTCATTTCCGCAATGAGCCTTCTTCTGTAGCTGGTCTATTTGGAGGTAGGTAATGGGCTGCAGCCCTGCCCCACACACAGAAATTTGAATGTGTTGCGTGCCTAGAACTAGTAGGTACCCTATTAGCTACAGAAGTGCATTGTTACGGTGGCTCCAGCCGCTATTCATGTGCTTGTGCTAGGCGTGTTGTCACCAGTGGTATGTATTTTTTTCACTTTGTGCTAAACTAAGGCTTATTTAGTCTAAACACGAAATGAGTATCTCCCCATTTCAGGATCTCTTGGACTTCACGTGTTGCTGCATACCACACACAAGGCTTGCATGTTATGAGTGTCTTCTCATCTTACTCGGCCTCACTGCTTTTAAGTTAAAGGGATTGGGATGTTCTTGCCCCTTATGGCATTTTTGTTGAGATGTTACTCTTAAACAGTGCGCAAAATTACTACAGAGCTTTGCAGCAGAACGTAAGAAAAGAGGCGTCTGCTGCGTTCAGTTACTGGGTGCTCATTTGTGCAGCTGTGTAACGTCCATGGAGTAGCCCAGTACTGATGCTGGCATTCCACCCTGGCACTTGTGAGGTGGGCTGGGACCTTCGTAGTGGTTTGTGGAAGAGTTAGTTCTTAAAAGCACCATGAAGTCACATTTTGGTTTAGTGTCTTTGAACAGAAATTAGCTAACAAATGGTTAAATACCACCTATGACTGTTCCCTTTGTTCCATATCCAAAAAGCGGGTTGAATAGTTTCTGTCAAGTCCTGTTTGTGTATTCCCTCCAAGGAACTCCATTAAAAATATTGACCTTTGCACCTTTCAAAACTTCCACGTTAGACAAAATACCCTGGGCTGGTGGCTGATACCAGGAGTAGGATTTGATCTTTTTCAGGGGCTGATTCAAAGGAGCCCTGTGCATTGTTTTTCCCTCTGGCTTGTCTCATCTCATTAGCTTCGTACAGCTTGAAACTTCCTACAATGCCAGAGCAGGAAACTCAGCTTCTTTCATTTAAGGCTGTTTCCTAAAGAAAACCAGGAACTATTGTAAGTCAAGTTTTCCATTGGTACAGGCACGGGTTTAAGAGTTGCAGGACATCCCAACGAAGGAATTCCTGTCTGCAATTCAGAGTCTCTGAAATGGCTTGTTACAACTTGACTGGTCATAAAGATACTCATTTTGGTTTGTTTATTTACTCCCTATCTTTTACCACATTCTGCTTCCCATGTTTTGCTGTGTGCTGTTTTCTTTGATTTGTTTTAATGAAAAGTGCATTGTTTAAATTCTTAGAGATGGATGCTTTTGAGGTGTTTTATGTTCCTTTCAGCCAAATAGGAACAGGTAATCCAAATTTCTGTGAAGTTTATGTTCAAGGATGGCATCCTATAGTTACTAATTTTTTAGGTGAAATGTGACTTACTTCAGGAAAACTAAGAGATCAAAATGAGGTGTTGTCACGTGAAGCATTTGTGATCCTTTTATTTCTCCATATCATCAAAATTTCTGTTAGAAACCAGAAGAGCTGGTATTCAAGATTTCAGAGTGTCCCTGCCCATGGCAGGGGAGTTGGAACTAGATGGTCTTTAAGGTCCCTGCCAACCCAAACAATTCTGTGATTCTATGATTAAGATGGCATTGCATTTTGTTGGTGCTTTTCACATAAATAATAATTTATATGAACAAAGTAATAACTACTTCTGTAATTGCCTGAATATCATGATGATGTACATGCACGCTGAGTTACGTGAGCATATACACCATTAAAAAAATAGTTTTACGAGCAAATCAGTATTCCCTTCCATACTGCTGAACTGTCAGTACTGCCGAATGTCATGCACAGTGCTTTGTGCTGCAGTAGATTGTCACAGCATTGGGAAACTTGTGTATTTGTGTCTGTAAACAGTGTTCTCCATAGGAGACAAATGGATGAAGTTCAGACAGGAATAGGAGTTGAAACTTAGCTTTTAACTCCCTGTATCTCGCTATAATTACTAGAAACTTATGTGCAAAACACGGTAGCCTGTAAAATGTGTGTCCAAAAAATACCTAAGCAAGCGCTATAAAAATTATTAGATTTACAGACTTCTAACTAAAAGCATTCCTAATCAGGCATCTTGGGATGATTTGGATCTTACTCCAGTTGTATCTGAGAGAACTGCTCAACTAATGTAAAACATTGAGGGAATAAACTTCAGACAGGTAATCTTGAAACAGAATCTGTGTCCTGCCCACTTCTTTTCCTGGAGAAGCGTGCTGATAATTTGCTCAATGATTTCCTTTAAGTATCTGGTAAAAGAATAAGGAAGATGTGAATGCCAAAACCTTTGTTTGGAGGAGTAAAGTCAAATAAACTGCTTCCAGATCTCTCTCTTACATGCTTCTCGGTGTCAGGGTGTGATCTGGACCTTTTGAGGTATTCCTAGTCTTTCTGCAGTACTTAAATAATCTATATAATTATTTGCCTTGTCTTGCATAAAGAGGGTGGATTCATGGGAAATGCTGTATAAAAACATTCAACTCCTTCCTTTTTTTCCCCACAGGGTTCACTCCATCTCCTGTTGCTCAACCACAGCCGTCAGCTGGCCTTAATGTTGACTTTGAGTCTGTGTTTGGAAACAAATCTTCTAATGTTGTCCTAGATTCTGGCGGTAAGACACTAAAATAGATGACACATGTCCTTTAATTTTTTTTTATTCTTGAGGTATAAATCTTTTAATCTTTGTTTACTCACACTGCTGTGACAGTGTTCCAGCTGGAGAAAGAAAGCTGAGTTTTCAAAAGGTCAATAGCAGCATTCTTCATCCAGCTTTTCTTTATTAATCAAATAATTTTTCCTTACACACTATTTCTGTGTGTGCCCTGCTGAAATGTTTACACCAATTTCCTTTACTTAAGTGTTCTGTGCATTGAAACTCTGCGCAACCCTCACGTTGATGTGCTGTCAGCTGAAATTAAGTCTGTGTTTGTAGAGCATGCTCGGGAGAAGTAAAGTTGCACCTCAGTTTTATCTATCTGCAGCATGGTGTTGGCACTTTTCTGCCAACATGTTACTCTTCTAGTGCTAAGATTATTTCAGAAAACGATGTGTTACCAAAATATATGTAGTTTACGTGGATTGCAGTCGTTAACTACTATTCCTGTGCCTCTGAGCATCTGGGAAGTAAATACTTCGTTGTCTTTTGACACAGGATGCTTGACATCAGGTTCTTTTCAGGCAAACCAGTGACCTGCTAAAAGCCAATATCTGTACATTTTTATAAGATTAAAATTTTTTAGAGATTTCTTCTATATTTTGATTTAAATTTTGATTGCTTTGCAGTCACTGTGAATCCATTCCATGTAAAATTGGTGTAATATAGGTTAAACTGATAAAGGGAAATGTCCTTTCTGCACTATGTCCTTTATCAAGAAGCATAAGTTTTGTCCTTATATAGTGTAGCATCGTTAAGTTAAATTTTGTGGTTTAGCCGTTGTGTTGAACTTGCTGTGTAATTGAATGTCACGACGTTCATGGGAGACCTGTGACCCAATCACTCATTTTGTTTATCGTTCCAAGGCTTTGATGAACTAGGTGGTCTTCTAAAACCAACAGTGGCCTCTCAAAACCAGAGTCTTCCAGTTGCCAAAGTACCACCTAACAAATTAGTGTCAGATGATCTGGATTCATCTTTAGCCAATCTTGTAGGCAGTAAGTATTGAACCACTAACACATAAATACTTACTTAATTCCATTAAATGAAGAGAATATCATAGTATCTTTTTCTGCTTTGTGACAGATCTGGGCATTGGAAATGGAACTACCAAAAAGTGAGTATGCTTAATCAAAAGCTGACCATTCTGATTTTCTGGATAGTAAGTTTTTTATGAAAGTACAGGTTCAGACCTGTGCGGAACGGCATAATGTTAACCTCCAGAGCACGTGTGGGATTGTGCTTTTTCTCATGAGAGATAGAATGACTTGCCAAGAGCTGTTGGAAGGTGACTAAACTGCGTGGTGGTGACAGTGGTAACAGCAGGCAAGATGTCCTGTGTCTGATCCCTTTTGGGCTTTGTATATAATGAGGAAATGAGTTAATGTAATGTTTCTTTGTAGGTGTAGGTAATCTTGGCACACCTTACAAATACTTTGTGTGATCTGAGTGCGTGCAGTGCTCTGCTAAAGGCTGGGAAACTGTGACCTCCAACTTGTGGTTGACCTTCAGACATGGGAATTTTGAAGCAGGGCATGTTCTGGAATAGTGAATGCTTGTTCTAGCAGCAAAATTAAGAGTGTGATTAGAAAATTTCAGGCTTATTGTGACTATCTGTGCCAACTCTGAAATCACAAATCTAGTGTGTGGTTGCTTCTCACTAAACTTTGACCCAGGAGAAGTCAGCTAGACTTACCCATGCTGGGAAGCTTGACTGAGATTAGATTAAGCTGAGGTGACTCATACTGAACAGCCTGCCTGGCGTTTTCCAAAACAAGCTTTTTTTGCAAGCACCACCCCCTCCCCAGGGTTGCTTTGAGCAGCCCATTCTAGTGGAAGGTGTCCCTGCCCATGGCAGGGGGGTTGGAACTAGATGATCTTTATGGGCCCTTCCAACCCAAACCATTCTGTGATTCTGTTATAAGGTCTTTTATCAACTCCTGTGCTAAATGAGTTTCTTCAATAACAGAAATAGCCACATTTCCAAGAGGAAACGGTGTTTACCTGAGGGAGTTTTGTAAGAAAATCCATTGTTTTCTAACAGTTCTTTAAAAACTTTGTTTGAAGTGATGTAAACTGGACTCAGCCAGGTGAGAAGAAACTCACAGGTGGTTCCAACTGGCAACCCAAGATTGCACCTACAACTGCGTGGAATGCTCCGACGTTGGTAAGCAAATACTCATTTTAAAATGGGGAGTTCCCTGCAAATTAGATACGCAGGCTGATGATAACAGAGAAATTTGGTAGTGAACTGTAGCTCCAAAGGGTAGTAAACTGCAGCAGTGGTTAGAGATGTGTGCTGCTCAGATTTGTTTTCTGAGCTGTGCAGTTCTAGTAAACAGTTTGTGGTGTGACATGCAGGTTTGCACGTGTCTTATGAAGCTTATGCACAACATAAGCTTCAGTTGCATCTGAGCAGCCCCTCTCATGGCAAGGGAACAGCCTTCCTGTCTCACTTAACTGACGTAAAACTGAGTTCCAGTGGTGAGGGGACACCTTGCAGTCTAGAAAAGCAGAAGTGTGAGAAGCATGTTCTTCAGGTGCACTGATACGTCTCGTATGAGTATGTTAGGGCTTGGCCTACTCAGGGGGTAAGAACGGGCCGAGAGATTAGTCCCCCTGGTACATGTAGAGGTGTCTGCAGTGAGGTGGGCTATAGCTTCCTGAATGTGCATAACTCCTGCTTTCCTGCCCCTGTGTGTGCAACTGTTTTTAACACGTCAGTGTTGATGATCAGCATCATGGTGTCCGTAGCAGTAGCACTGGCAAGGGTTCGGGGGTAGCGTGTAGAGCGAGGGCTCCTAATGACATGGCAAGGGAAAACCGAAGGGGTTAAGGGGTTACATGAGTAGCTTTCACAATGCTGAGACAACGCTTTTGCGTGTGAATCCTACTCACCCTTTCACTGGAGAACTGAACGGGGGCAGAACCGCTCACGCACCACCCCCGAGGTTTATTGCATCTGACTAACTGATGGGGGGAGGCTGAATCCGCAGTGTCGTGATACAGCATTGTGGGTCTGGGGGGAGAGAGAGCTTGTGTCCCTGGATCCACCACCTCTTCCCTACTGGGTATCCCATATCAACTCGCTCCGCTTGTGTAGGGAGAGGTGTCTGTGGGCCTTCCCGCAGGGTGTGTAGCTATTGGAGAAACCCCAACTACTCACCTGCTTCGACCAGTGGTCTGAGTTTACTTGTGTGCTTGGATCTGTTTAATAACTCGTGTCTCGTACGTACATCTTCTTGTGAGAAGTCATTACGTTAACGGCTTTTGTTAATTAGAGATGCTGTTGAGACACTCTCCCTGTGGAACTGGTCTGTTACCATAAAAGTCTTGAAACAGAAATAATCGGGTGGGGTGGGGACACACACGTTTATTTTCCTCTGCTGGTCTATTTATTGTGGAGTTGCTGCTGCTTGCAAAGTAAATATGCTTTTGAAAATAAGGCTTTCTTGCCTTTTGGAAAAAAAGGCATATACCAAATAAATGGACTATGCAACACTCTCATGAACCTCCTGAGGCCGGCTGTGTCACAGGAGTGCGTTGTCTCAGTGAATGACTTGAATTACAAGAACGTGTTGGGGTGAACATTTAATGTACTTGTGAACTAAAATGCTATCTATGTATATTCCGTTGTGTAAGTATTTGCTTCTAATCCAGTGTTATTGCATTATGTAATTGTTCTCCCTGGGAAATACAGAATGGCATGCATTTTCCACAATACGTAAGTGAACCAACCCGCAGCCTTTTTGCAATCGACTGGCATGCTGATATTAACCACTGCTGTTGCAGAATCTCATAACCTTCTCGCTATTTACACATTTCTCATGTTTAAATCTTTTGGTGTGCCGAAAATTGAGCTTTTCCTAGCATATACACAAACTTCATAGGTGGTCTGCAGGCTCTTGACTCGAATGATGGCATGGGAAATACCAAGATTATTTTTCCTTGCTTTAAACTGTACCATTTGCTGCCAGAGAGCTGGGGTGTGTGTCTGTGCTGCCTTTAATGCACTCGGTGACTTTTGAATGAAGAGAAAAATGTTTGTGTTTGAATAACTGCATGAGACCTCACGGGCTTCTGTTACACTTGGCACTTTATCCACATTTACAGCAGATCTTGATTTTTTTTTTCCCCTTTTTTTTTTTTTTAGTGGGGAGAGACCAATATGTCATAATGCTCGTACGAAAAAAAGAAAAATCTGTGCTGACAGTTTACAAAGGGCAAGCAATAACCTGTGCTTGCTGTCTGAGAAATGCAGCTTTTCACTTCAAAGGACTTTTTTCTTCATGTCAACAGTGATATTGGTCTTTCCCTGTATTCTGTGTTTATTGCAGGGTGACTCTGTAACCAAAGAGTGGTAGGTCCGTACTTGAGTGCTCAGAAATAAACGTAGTCAGCATGTTTGGGTGTGTGTAGGAGTGGATACATAAACAAAACAAAACACACAAGTAATTTTCAGGGTAGCTTTGCCAGCTGTGTGAAATACATGGATAGTACACAGTCTGGATCATCCCTGCCGGGGGAAATCTGGTGACAGCTGAAACACCAGTGACCCTGTCTATGAGAAGGCAGCTGATACCTTAGAACTGAATTTGGAAGCAGCGTTGCTGATGTCCTACTCTTGCTGTTCCAATTTATCTGCTTTGATTAAGCCGGTATTATTAACTGTCACATTCCTCTTTTCCCTGTCAACATGCTCTGTGAACCAAGAAGTTCATATGGTCTTTGTCTTGTCAGGAATAGTAATCCCCACAGCCGTAGCATGGAAATTAGACTGTTTTTGTCTTAAAGGAGAGACTAGCAGGAGGCGGGTGGAGAGGCAGCAAGATATCCGAATATTTACAAGTACTAATTCACAGCCTGAATAAAACTTTGTTTGTCCTTGTAAGAGTTCACACTAATTTAGAAAGTGGATAATGAAATTGTAAAACAAAGGCTACAGTTAGGATATGAAGAACTGACTTAACTCTTAGAAAGAACAATGTATTAATGAGCTATTTTTCTGCATCTATGTTTGCAAAGTTGTTTTCAATATAGCTTCACCCCAGATTTTGTCTGTTGACAGCAATCTTACTGTAGCTTCCTAAAAGTTGGCTTAGGTTAAGGGTGATGTGAACACACCTGCAAAAGTACTACGTGTTCGGATTCCCTGTGCTAAGTGGGTGGGTGAGAGGGAGTGCAGGCTGGGTATTCCCGTCGGAGCGGGATTCACGCTGCAGCGTGGTAGGAGAATCCCCGTGGTGTCTGCATCCTGGCTAAAGAGTGGGGGGTTCCTGGGCTGTCAGCAGAGGAGCAATGGTAGTCTGCTCTTTTAGTTTTTCAGATTCTCGCAAGGTTCTTTGTGTACCGTTGCTTCTGATTTTGAAACAAAAGTATATACTTCATGGAATTAACAAAATGCTGCTGCTTCCTGAGTGTTTTCTCTCAAGAGTCTGTCTCATACTCTGCTCTTTAACCAGGATGCTGAGAGAATGGCAGCGTGCAGTTCAGATTAGTCAGCCAGGATCCTGACAGGCTACGCACATACGCAATTCTAGATTTGCCAAGATCTCCTGGGAGCTTTAGCTTAGGTATTGTATTCCATCTGAAGGAATTCAGATACACTCCTAACACACGACTGCAAAGCTGATTTATTCTTTGCTGTACTCCTAAAAAGCTAAGTGCTGCAGTTGCCCTCTAGAAAGCAATGTCTTACCATGCAGCCGATCTCTTCTCCTCTCAGTTCACCACTGTTTTTCACCCCAGGCACCACCTGTAATGGCATATCCCGCCACAACGCCGACTGGGATGATGGGCTACGGGATGGTGAGTGGAACGCCTGCAACTTGCAAGTCAGATGCTGTGTATCACTTGATTGCTTATACCTTGGTAGCAGTTGTTTTGGTGAACTGTTTTCCTGAAGACTGAATTCCGGCTCCTGTTGATTGGTTTATTCTTCACCAAATCATTAAGTCCTGTCTTTCTGAACTACTTCGGTAGTTTTTGTCTGGAATGAAGCCTGCCTTTTCTTACCTCACTTAGTTTTTCATAAACTCTTAAAAACTAAAACGGTGTCTGTTCTTGCTGGGCTTTATTGGTGCAGAAACAAGCGTATCACGTGAGCATAGCTATGTTCACCGCAGGAATGTTTTATCGGTGAGGTGAAACCTTCCTTTGGTACTTGCTCCAGCCTCAGCTGAAGGTTTCTGTAACAATCACTGCTACAAACCTGCGGCTTTGTGACACTGCCCTGTGTTGTGGTGTTGGCTGAGAACTGAACGGCTTAGAGACATACCAGGGCTGGAAGGCTTTTGACATAAACCTGCCCTTGGCGGCCTATTGCTCTGAAAAGTTGTTCAAATTTTTGTTCTTATCTCAAATTCTAAAATATTTTGGAAATTATGTGCCTTAACTCTTCTTTACTAGCAAGGTTCTGATGCAGCACAGCTCCGCTGTGTGAGTAAAAGGGGATCTTATTCTGTTTCTCTCTTAAACGGTTCCCAGATCAGCAAAACAAAAATAAGCTCATTGTATGATCATATAATCAAATTAGATTAATGATTTATAATGTGTATATGCTCAGTAAGTTAACTGCAAAAGTGGCCCACTGTGTTCTTGAGGGCCTTTTGGGAGAGTATCCTGTTCTCCATTACTCATCTATCAGCTTTAGCACGTTCTGTGCGAAGTTAAACTGCCTTTAGTGTTGATTCAGACTTGATCTGCACAACTTTCGCACTGAAGGTACAGGAAGTATTTTCTTGGTTACTATGATTCAGCAGCTGGGGAAGGTGACACACATTTAGTGTAGAAAAAGTAACTGTGCATGTTTTGTAAAGCAGCTTTGATTGTGGGGTTTAAATGCCAGTGGGGAATGGAAGCTGGCGTAGAGTCATAGAACGGTTTGGG